TGCTCCAAACATCGTCCCCTGACCATTGTTTGGCTATTTTTGAATATTCCTCCTGTGGAGGACGCTCTGAGAGCGTTCTGGAACGCCCTTGAATGGACTTGTCCTCGTCCTAGCCCCGTCCGACCTGCCCCTCCACTTCGGAAGACGGCAGATGCTGGTCGAGGGTTGCGTCGTTCGCATCCTACTTACGCACCGCCTCCCAGAAATAATTCCGATCACCCAGAAAAGTTTCGAAACAGTGTCTGCCCGACACGCTGGCGAAGTGTCGAACGAATATCGCCTCCCAGGGCCCGACACGTGAAAACTCTCCAGTTTCAGTACCTTCCTGGTGCTCGATTTTCTTTCTGGTGATCAAGGCTAAAGTAGGTTGGAACATCATAATTAAGTCGAGGGTGGTCGGCGCCACTGCGACATCAGAGGCCTCCTCGATGGGGTCGGAGTAGATGGGGTCGGAGGATCACGCCGCATCGCCGATACATCGGCGATGCATCGGCGACGCATCGGCGATGCATCGGCGATGCATCGGCGACGTCGGCGATACATCGGCGACGCCGGCGTGGAGCAAAGCGGGCTCCACATCGAGCCACATCGCCGGTGCATTGGCGATGCGGCGCGGTCCTCTGGCCCCATCTACTCTTAGGTCGGGCATGTCCCCCTACGGGCGGATTTTGGACGACAAACAAAAAGTACTAAACAAACGCTAGAAACATCTTCCCACAACTTGCTTTACTGTTTTTGCAGATTCCTCCTGTAGAGGGACAGGCCCGACTCAAATCTACTCCGACCCCACCTGGGAGGCCTTGAGACACCATAGAGCTCGGCGGCGGGAGCCACTCGCGAGTTGGCGGACGGCCTGCACCTCCCGGCGGCGCTTGCGCACGCCTGCCGGGCCGGCCACCCGCGGGGGGCGGCGACCACCGCCAGTCTCCCCACGGTGCCGGGCGCAGGGAGCAGGTGAGCGCGAGTCGTCCTGACCCCACTCCCTGCAGGGGCCCAGGGACACGCAAATCAACGGACACCAATCCCAGGACTCCCCACAGATGGAGCTCCGTCCCCCCCCCTCGGCTTCCCAAATATTTTCCGATGCTATCTCTTGGGGATCGCCGATTCTTTGTGCCTCGTTTTGGACTCCTGCGCGCCAGCAGCCGTTGCCGGGGTGGCCTCCGCGACGACCCCGGCTCCCCGCGGAGGCAGCGGCGGGGCCACCGCCGGCGCCCTGCAGCGCCACCGCCGGGGCTCCCGGTGCCCGGGAGGGCCAGGGAGGGCAGCAGCGCCGGGTGCGCGGCAGGCGCCAGAGGTCTGCCCGCGCCTGGCCGCGCACGTCGCGCGCGTTGCGCCAGCTGCTCCGCAGGCGCTGGGCGTCGGCCCGCGCATGGCCGCCCGCGGCGCGCAGCTGCCGGCCGCGGCGCGCGGCGCCCAGCCGCGGCGAGAAGCGCCTCCACCCCGCCGAACCTCCGAGAAGGGGCGCGGAGGAGCGGCGCACGGGATGCGCCCACGGCGCTGGTTGGCGGGGAGCAGGTGCTCGTGCCAGCCGGCGCCGAGGAGGGGCAGCGGGGAGGTCGTCGTCGACGGTCGGGGAAGGCAGTGCGCCGCCCTGGAGGGACAGATGGCAAGGGCGGTTCGGCGAAGCGAGGAGCGCCATGCCTCCAGCGAGGAGGGAAGAGGAGGACGAGGAGGGAGGACGGAGGAGGGCGCGGAGGGAGGAGGACGAGGCGGGGGGAGGACGAGGAGGGAGGAAAGCGAGGAGGGGGGAGGACGATGAGGGAGGAGGACAAGGAGGGGGGGAAGGGGGCGCTGTACCGCCCGCGCCCGGGCGTGCGAGCGCGGCCGCTCGTCGGAGACCACGCCGGTGCAGGCTCCTCCAAGGCCGCCGGCCCGCCCGCGGGATCGGGGGCTGGGCGGGGGGCGTCTTGAGCCCGAGGGGCTGAGCCCGCCAGGGCCAGCCAATCCTCCTGCTGCTGCTCCTCGCTCCTCGCTCCTCGATCCTCCTCTTCCTCCTCCTCCTCCTCCTCCTCCTCCTCCTCCTCCTCCTCTATCCTCTATCCTCTATCCTCTATCCTCTATCCTCTATCCTCTATCCTCTATCCTCTATCCTCCTATCCTCTATCCTCTATCCTCTATCCTCTATCCTCTATCCTCTATCCTCCTCCTCCTCCTCCTCCTCCTCCTCCTCCTCCTCCTCCTCCTCCTCCCCTTTCTCCACCGTACCTGCTTCCTCAATGCTCCCTTCGTCCTCCCCCGCCTCCCTTCTTCACTTCCTCTCCTCCTCAAGCTGGTTTGCATTGTACCGTCTTGCATTGCTCAAAAATGCGATGGTTTGCTTCAGTAGAACGAATGCCCGTAATCAGGATCGCGCCAGGTTCAGTTTTGTTGTTGTTCACGGTGCTCTTGTTCGATCAGGTGGTTCTCTGCCACTCACCAAATGCATTCCCGCTGCAGCGTTGGCCTCACAGTTCAGGATCGGCGCTTAAGGCTCACCGTTCACAATGCCGCTCTCGCCCAAGCGCGGGCCAAATGTCTGGATCCGATCCCTTCCTCGTCGTTGACGTCCCCCTCCTTTCCCTTCAGCCGCCTTCCGCTGCTCCCGCGACTCCTCCTACTCCTCCCTCCTCCTCCTGCGCCTGCTGATCCTGCTAATTATCCTCCTCCTCCTCCTCCTCCTCCTCCTCCTCCTTCTCCTACCTCATTGTCCTCCTCTTCCTCCTGCTGCTCCGCCTCCTCCAATGTACAAAGTCCCCTTTTTCTGATCACACAAGACGTGTGCGTTAAGGGGTCAAGATCCCCTAGAACACCCCACGAACTCAACATAATCCAGCGCAGCGGGCAGAGATCGAGGGGATGGACGATATGGCCCGAGCGCACCCAGAAAGTCCCTCCCTCTCTCCCGCCCCCCCTCCTCCCTCCTCGCTCCACCCAGGAAGTCCCTCCCTCTCTCCTGCTCCCCCTCCTCCCTCCTCGCTCCTTGCACTGTCTCCCCTTCCTCCCCCCGAAAGAGGATGGGGGAGGAGGGGAGGGGAGGGGGGGGGGGGGGGCCGAGGGAGGGAGGAGGGAGAGGTGCTGGGCCGTATGAGCGGCACTGGGCCGAGGAGCGGGGGGGGGCTCTCCTCCCTGAGTCCCTGCACTGCCTCCCCCTCCCTCCTCGGCCTCCTCCCCCTCCTGCCTCCTGCCCTGCCCCCCCTCCTCCACCGTATCCTGCCCTCCTCCCCCTCCTCCCTCCTCCCCCCCCTCCTCCACCCCTCCTGCCCTCCTCCCTCCTCCCCCTCCTGCACCCCATCCTGCCCTCCTGCACCCCATCCTGCCCTCCTGCCTCCCTACTCCCCCTCCTCCCCTCCTGCCCTCCGCCTGCCCTCCTCCCCTCCTCCCCCTCCTCCTCCCCTCCTGTTTCCTCCCTCCTCCCCCCCTGCCCTGTCTCCCCTCCTCCCTTCTCCCTCCCCCTTCGGCCGCGGCACCACTGACACGGCCTCCCCCCCAAAAGCTAAGGCCGCCGCCCGCGCAACCCGAGTCTGGGCTGCCCGCTCCTCTCGCCTCCACCAGGCCCGTCCAACAAAAACGGACCGACTGCTGCAATCGACGCGATGTCATGAGGAACCCTGAAGAAGGAACGCGGCACCTTTTGCTCCATAGGGTTCAACTTCGATCGCCCATGGAAAAACCAACGACAGACTAGGACAAGCTGCAAAACAAATGAGGAACAATGAACCCCTCCCCAGCAAAAAAAGCTCCTTCTTCATCGGCCCGACTGTACCACACTGCTGGTATGAGATGCTTGGCCCAGACGCAGGGGGGGCCCAAATCCGGCAATACCCTCACAGCATTAAAGAGCGCGCTTCCTGACAAATGTCCGAAGCATCGAGCGCCACGATTCTGAACGGCGTGCCAATTAATTTGTGACGAGATGTGTAGGATTTGGTCGGGCGTGTCCCCTACAGGCGGATTTTGGGCGAAACAAAAACATACGCAGAAAATGCCCCAACATACTAAGACAATCATCGAAAAAGCGTCCCCATACGATTCGTAGAGGGACACGCCCGACTTAAGTATAGGAGCTTCCCAGGAGGTCTCCTTTCGAGGGGCCCACCGAGCCTGCCCGCGGGTCGAGCCAACAAAATTCCCCCCCCCGCCCCCTCTCTTAGAGGCCTCCCAAGATGGGGTCCGAACAGATGGGGGCACTGGATACAGCGGGGGCCAGTCCACAAGAAACCTTCACAAGAAACCCAACCCTGAGACTCTGAGACCACAGGACGTCCATTGATTTTTGGTGTGGGGACGTCACGCTTTCCAGAGCTAGACAATCCGAACCCAAGAAACCCAGGTCACCCTGGAGGCAAGCAGGGTGTTTATTGGCATGGGTCTCCACTGTAAGGAACCCTTAGATAAGAGGAATCCAAGGTCTGGAAGCCCGTGAAAAAATCCAACTGATGTTTAGCCATGGACATCACCGTCACCCTCATCAGATAAGGAATCCTTCAGGGTCTGAAGCCTCCTGGGCACGTTCCTTGACGAACACCCCTACCGTAGATGGGGTCGGAGGATCGCGCCGCATCCCCGATGCATCGCCGATGCGTTGGCGACGTATCGGCGACGTCGGCCATGCCCCGGCGATGCATCGGCGACGCGTCGGGGTGGAGAACATCGGGCTCCACCACGCGCCGCATTGCCGATGCATCGGCGATGCGGCGCGGTCGTCCAGGCCCATCTACGCGGACCTCGTCTGGGATAGAGGGCAGAACATCCACCCCGATAATAACCACTCCGACACGCGAAGCCGTTTAGCAAACGCACCCAAAAAAGGAACCAAACAGGGCAAGGCTGCTTAGTAAACGCCCAGTGCCGTTTCGTAAACGCCAATTGTCTAGTCCGGGTGGTTTTCCTCTCTTGATGGGAGGCCCAGAGACCTCCCCTCCTGCCTCGCGCCCCCTCCTCCACCCCTGCGGGGAACCCCTGCGCTTCTGCGCAAGGTACCCCCCCCCGCGGCAGCGGCTCTGGCGGGACCCCCGCTCTCACGGCGTCGGCCCTCCCACATTGATGTGCTTCTGTCCGGGGGTGTACTCCGCCCGCATGTGCTCTTTGGGCCACCGCTTGCCTTTCGCGTCGTCGTCGTCGTCGCGGGGGGGGGGTGGGGGGACGCGCGCGAGGGAGGAGGAGGAGGATCTGGCTTGAAGGGGCCGAGTCCGAGAGGAAGGGGGGGTCCTTGATTGAGGTCTTTGGCCGCTTTCGGCCTCTCGGGGCTCTCCACGGGCCCTGGCACCCCCACCAGACGGCTCGGGATGAAGAGCTGGTCCTGGGGAAAGCCCCAAGGCCAGACCCGTTTCCCTCAGTACCCCTTTTCCTTCATGGCGAGAGGAGGAGGAGGAAAAAGGAGGAGGGGAAAGAGGAGAGTAAACCCAAGACGCATCAAACATGTTGCAATAAACCCTCCCGCTAGTTTCCCGCGTCATAGGGCCCGAAGAAAATTGATTTGCATTGCGGGAAATGCATAATTGCAAGACAACCGTCTGGGAATCCTCAATCGTGCCAGCACGCAACTCTTAGAATTTCAACGCCACGAATCAAAGTGTCTATTGCGTCTTGACAACCCTTTAACCATGCCAGAGCACCATTCCTGGGATTCCAATAGTTACCGCGAATATGCGTGAGTGTTGCGCCTTGGCTCAAACATTGGCAGAACACCATTCCTGGGACTTCGACAGCGCGAATCCTTGAAGCTGGTTGGAACTTCCAAGACAAATGCGCGCGGCGCTAAAGCGAGAACCACATGTTAAACAAGGACAGCCCTTGATCCGTGAAACTGTCGCAAACGTTCACGAACCAATGTGCGCGGCGTTAAGGCAATATCTACATTTTGACAACCACCCGCTCTCCATCTTTTAATATGCTGCAAACTATCGGAACGAATGCGCGCGGCGCTAAACCGAGAACAACATTTTGCAAATCAGCCAGCCTTCATCCGTGACGCTGTTGCATATTTCAAATATCTGGGTCATAAGCGGTGAGGAAATCTCATGCGAAGCTCCAGGCCCGCTCTACCAACAAGTCTGGGGGTGTGACAGGGAGGAGTTTTTCGGATGAAAGGGATGGAAAGGATGAGAAGGAGGAGGACGAGGCGGAGGAGGACTTGCCAACTTATAGCGGATGTTTTTCCGCAATTGGAATTTCTGGGGCGGGGGTGTGCATGACTGGCTGAGGATCGGACTTCAAACATACTTTAGGACTGCTCGCAACGAGGACAAATCGCTCGATAATGCGCAAACGTCCAAATGCATGCGCGACATGATTGTCGAACTATGTTTACGTGCTGTCATGTGTGGGCCCACGGCGTGGTCGACATCAAGACTGCTGTTGCCGGGCGGGTGCGTGTGTTTCGCTGGCTCACAAAAGCATGTGCGTGCACCTATGGGGGCAAACGTGTTCTGGACAGAACTTAGTGTTTTCTTGAACGACATATCACGCATTGAAATAATTTCCAGGTGGGGCGTCGAGCACATGGGTTGCGGGGGCACAGACAATATCCCACCGTCATCGGATCGCTCCCCCGACCCTGCTTGCTCCCCAATGCCACCCCCGCCCCGATCGAAGCTGTTTCGGCTTTGGCGAGGCTCGCCTCTGCGAGGCGAGCCATGCCCGCCACTTTACGCGTGGGCATTGACGTGGGCGACGTCATATGTCGCCGCGATGCCACCCACCGGCCTGAAGGGCCCAGGCCATTGCGGGGGCAAGAGGGGGTTCGAGGTGGGAGCTCTTTTCAGACCCATTGATAAGCACAGCGTGGGACAGAGAAAGGAAAACCACAATGGCACCGAAACCGCGGGAACGACCCCAACGCCCCCCCCCCGCCCGCCACCCCTTCCACAAGGGGGGGTGGGGAGGGGGCGCCACGAGAGGCGGGGTGGAGGAGGAAGAAGAGGATAACCCCGCCCCCTCCTGCACTTCCGTAGGCGACGATTTCGAGCGCCTCGTCTAGAAGAAAAACCAGCGTAAGCATAAACTTTTGGCGCTCCGCGCGTATTTCTTGGATCTGCGCTGGACCCCCCCCTCCCTGGCGCGCGGAGCGCGCCAGGTGCGGCGCTGGAGGCGCCGCCAGGGGGGCCCAGCGCGGATCCAAAAACTCCGCGCGGAACGCCACAACATTATGTTTTTGTCGTTTATTTACTTATATATATATATATATATATAGATTCTCCAATCGTCGTGGACGCCTTCATGGTGTTCGCGCACTTCTTCGTGCTAGAACACGGGGGGGTGGCCAAGAAGAGAGGGGGGTCGGGCGCGGCCTGGCCCGAGACGTGTGCGCGGACGAAGGTGGGCCAGAAAACGCAGAGTCAAACGTGATACAAGCCCGAAAAGAACGAAGAAGATGGAAGCACCGAACAAGAATTTGAATGCGAAGAAGAACAATAAAGCAAATCCACCCCAGACCCGATATATATATATATATATATATATAATATATATATATATATATATATATACATACATACACATACATACATGCATGCCTGCCTGCCTGCCTGCCTGCCTGTCTGCATGCATGCATGCATGCATGCATACATACATACATGCATACATATGTATATACACAAGACTGCATTGGCGCTTCGCACCATGCACCCTGTTCCTTGTGAGTTCGAATGCAGGCGGCGCGCGCGCATGGACGCGGGGCCGGCCGCCGCCAAGTCGGAGTGGGTCAGGATCTCCTAAGCGGGAGCGACTTGACAACGCCAGATCTGGCCAGCTCAAGGCGTTGCTGTGCCCAGAGGCGCGACTAAGTCTCAGGCGACTAGTTGGGGTAGCATGAAGCATGGCATCCTCCTCCTCTTGCTCTTCCTCCGCATTTTCCTCCCCCATGTTTCTCTTCTTCGTCTTCAGCTCCAAGACGTCTCCAACCGAGTCCCCAGGCGGGCCCCGAAGAGGCCCAAGGCTGGCGCAACAGGGCCCCGAGATGGCACAACTCTGCACGGAGAGTGGGGCCCAATAGTGGACAAATGTAGCAGAATCATTGGAAAAACGAAGATTTTGGTCTTCGCGCCTTGTCGCTTCCGATTGGCTCTTGAGGCGTCGAGATAATTCCAAGACGTCTCCAACTGAGTCCCCTGACGAGCCCCAAAGAAGTCCAAGGCTGGCGCCGCAACAGGGCCCAGAGTGGGAAAAGCAGAGAAAACGCAGTATAAAAAACATGTTTTCGGCCTTCTCGCATTTTCACTTCCGGTTGACTCGGGGGGCGTCCAGACGACCCCAGGACGGCCACAGGGAGGCGCAAGACAGGCCCGAAGATTCGAAAATCTTTTGGGGGAGGGCGGGGGGGGGGGCGCTCCGGCCCTATAGGGCCCAGAGAGGGGTCCCAGAGATGGATAAAAATCGTGGGAAAAGCACAAGTTTTTGGTCTTCACGCCTTGTCGCTTCCGATTGGCTCTTTAGACGCCCAGATGCCTCCAAGACGGCTCCAGATGAGGCCCCAGACGAGCTCCAAAGAGTCCCAAGGTTGGCGAAACAGGGCCCGGAGAGTGGGAAAAGCAGAGAAAACGAAGTAAAAAACTGTGTTTTCGGCCTTCTCGCTTGTACACTTCCGCTGGACTCGGGGGGCGTCAAGACGACCCCAGGATAGTCACAGCAATGCGCAAGACAAGCCCGGGGAGGCGAATTTCCGTTGGGGGGCACCCCAGCCCTGTAAAAATATATATGTAGGAATGTGTATGCATAGATGTTTATGTACATGTACACACACATATATATATATATATATATATATATATATATACATGCACATACACACATACATACATACATACATACATACATACATACATACATACATGCATGCATGCATGCATGCATGCATGCATGCATGCATGCGTACATACAAACAAACAAACACACAAACGCACGTGCGTACGTACGTACGTACGTACATACATACATACATACGTACATCCATACATACATACATGCATGCATGCATGCATACATACATACATGCATGCATGCATTCATGCATACATACATACACAGATGCACACATACATGCATACATATATACATACATACATACATACATACATGCATGCATACATACATACATCATACATACATACATACATACATACATACATACATACATACATACATACATCCATGCATGCATGCATGCATGCACGCATACATACACACACATACATGCATGCATGCATGCATGCATGCATGCATGCATACATACATACATACATACACATGCACACATATATATATATATACATAGATATATGTATATATATATATACATACCACCAAAGAAACGCCAGAGGCGCTTTTTCGTAATCGTCACAACCAAACAAATCAAAAAGTCGTCCCCTGACTATTTTTGGACTATTTTTGAATATTCCTCCTGTAGTGGGACACGCCCGACTTAAGAATAGGGTCCAGAACAGGGCCCCCAAGGCGGCAGCGGGAGGAAGCCGATCTGCGGCAGGCAGGCGTGGACGCCTCCAAAGGCTCTGGTGCTCCACAGAAGCCTCCCAACGCCTCTGGAGATCCACGGACGGAGGCCTCTGGATGCCCAGAGAAGGACCAGCAGCGTCCAGAAACGCATGCCCTCGCTCGTCGGTTCTCGATCTTCGAAAACCTCGAGCTCGTCGACACTCGGTTCTCGATCTAGGGAAACAAACACATGACATCAAAATAAAACACCTGGGAGGTCCGCGCGGATTTCTCGGATCGGCGCTGGATCCCCTGGCGCGCAGAGCGCGCCAGGGGCGGCGCCGGAGGTGCCGCCAAGGGGGTCTCCAGCGCCGATCCGAGAAATCCGCGCGGGCCTCCGAGCTTTCCTGTTTGTGTCATTGCTCGTTCCCCTCGGAACGTCGGCCCTCGGAAGGACCGGGGTTGGGAGGAGGGGGCGGAGGCGGAGGAGGAGGAGGAGGAGGAGGAGGAGGAAGAGGAGGACAAGGAGGACCAAGAGGAGGAGGAGGAGGAGGAGGAGGAGGAGGAGGAGGAGGACAAGGAGGAGGAGGATGAGGAGGAGGGAGGCGGAGGAGGAGGAGGAGGAGGAGGAGGGAGGAGGAGGAGGAGGAGGAGCCCCCGAGCCGCCGAGCCCAGGGTCTCCATGGGCGCTCCCCTGCGCGCTGTGCTCCCCTCGGTGGGCTTTTACCGCGCCTAACCGCGGCGGCGGGAGGTCTCACCGCGGAGGTCTCTCACCGTGGAGGGCTCCGGCATCAGGTCGGGCATGGACCCCCCTGCAAGCCGATGTTGTACGAAAATCTAAAAAATACCCGACACATGTAGAACACTTGCTCAAAAATAATCGGAATATCGTCACCAGACTATTTTTTACTATTTTTGAATACTCCTCCTGCCGAGAGGCACCACAGAAAACCCATATATAGAGCTCGGCTGGCTCGTGTCGTGCCGACTTCGGCGCTGGCTCCTGACAGCGCGTGGGTCGTTCGGCCTTGAACGATCGGCCATTTCTAGGGAACCGAACTCTAAACGCCGATACATTTTGCTGCACTGCACCGAAATTTGCACAGGAAAGCGGATCCTGGTGTATACGGGATCATGGTGTATACGTTTTCGATTGTTTCCCCGGGAAAACGGTGAAACAAATATACACCACACCACCCCGACGTCGTCCCCGACCCTCAAAAAGTCCTGGGATTGAAGAACAACCCACTACTGGTAATGTACATGCGCCAATCAATTTCCGAGTTTCCGACACGCCAGATCGTGCAACATCGATAGATTCTGGGTCGCCAGCGGCGTTCAACGTTGAACGCCGGCGGTGGGGTCGCCGTCGGTCGACAAGACGCGAACCTACCGTAAGGATGCGCGGTGAGGACGCAAAGACATCGGGCGCCCGTGCCGAGGCTCTTCGAGCGGGGCTGGCCATCGAAAGCGGTTACGGATGAGAGGTTGAGGATGGCCGAAGAGACAAGGACGCAAGGGTACCCTTGGGAAGACGATCAGCCTCACTGTGCGGGCTGACTGCATTCTCAGAAATGGCGATTCCACCAATGACTTCCCTCACAACTCAATTAGAATATTTTCGGATTCGCAGTCGAAATGGGGCGTCGTGCTGCTCGCATGCGGTGGTGCTCAATTGCGCGATGGTCCCTGCCCACCATTGGAGACTTCGTTCGGCATAGCATTGGCAGAGACACGAAATGTGTCAAAATTCGCATAACGGCGATGAAAGCATCACTCACCCTCTCCTGCAATGCAAAATTGGCACCTCTACGCACTGCCGCTCGGACACTCAAACCCGGAAGACCCGAAACGAACGCTGCATACTGAGGGGACGGAAGAGGGGAGAGTTCAAGCCATATGCTACGCGTGAGTGTGTTGCGTTGTTGTTTACGGCGCCTGTGGCGCAAGAAACGCCCGTTCGAAAAATGCTGCTTCGCCGAGGCAACCTCTGTGGGGGGACGAACAAAGACATAAACATAAAAACTCGGAGGTCCGCGCGGATTTCTTGGATCGGCGCTGGACCCTGGCGCGCGGAGCGCGCCAGGGGCGGCGCCGGAGGCGCCGTCAGGGGAGTCCAGCGCCGATCCGAGAAATCCGCGCGGACCTCTGAGTTTTTACGTTCGTGTCATTGTTCGTTCCCCTACCCCTTGGCCTCCCTTTTCGGTGTGGCCCCCGCGGCCGCTGCGGGAGCGCAGGACTGGGCACGAGCAGCAGACGCCCAGCACTCGGCCCCGCAGGCACACCGGCTTTCGACAACGAGACCGGGGGACGCGTGGCTCTCCACGCGTGGGCGTGGGCGGGCGCTTGCTACGACAATGACCAACCACCTCCTCTCCCACATCCTCCTTCACCCCCTCCTCCTCGTAGTCCTCGTAGTCCTCCTCCTCCTCCTCCTCCTCTCCTCCTCTTCCTCCTCCTCCTCGTCCTCCTCCTCCTCGTCCTCCTCCTCCCCCTCCTCCTCCTCCTCCTCCTCCTCCTCCTCCTCCTCCTCCTCCTCCTCCTCCTGCTGGGGAAGCTGTGCTCCTCCCTTCGGGGAGGAGCCCACCGCGTCGACGCTCCCTCGAGAAGTGCCTCGAAGCTCACGGGTCCCCCCCAGGAGGCAAGAACCACGGCCCCCCCCGCCCCTCCAAGTTGCGGATGGCCCGTGGGAGTCCCCCGAGGGATCCCGAGGGGGGAACCGAAAGCGCCCCGATACTCGACCCCCGAGCTTCGACCCTCGCGATCGAGCGCCTCCTCCTCCTCCTCCTCCTCCTCCTCCTCCTCCTCCTCCTCCTCCTCCTCATCCTCATCCTCATCATCCTCATCCTCATCCTCTCATCCTCATCCTCATCCTCATCCTCATCCTCATCCTCATCCTCATCCTCATCCTCATCCTCATCCTCATCCTCATCCTCATCCTCATCCTCATCATCATCATCATCATCATCATCATCATCATCATCATCATCATCATCATCATCATCATCATCCCCCTCCTCATCCCCGTCCACCTCCCCTCCTCCTCCTACTGGTCCTCCTCGTCCTCTTCGGGTTTGTGGGGGGGGGGTCGGCCGCGCCGTACTCCGAGCACGCGAACTCTTTGAGCTCCGCGTCCTCTGGGACGCAGTCCTCCACCACGAACGGGTAGGCGCGCCGGACGAGCTCCTCAGGGTCTTGGCTCTGCGCGCAGCTTCGTGCCGTGGCGACGTGGGTGTTACCGGGAAGCTTGCAGCACAGCATACACACAAACAAACAAACACACGCACACACAAACACACACACACACAAACACACACACAAACACACACACGTGGCTGGATTCGCACGTGACATGTGGGACAGGCGGAGGCCACGCGCTGGGTACACGTGCGGAGACAGGCGTGCCTGGTCTAGGGCCAGGCGCTGGAAAAACGTGCGGTCATTTGTGTATCCGGTTCTCGCCTAAGCTGGCCACATCATGTGTATCAAACTTCCTGGCAATTTCTGACACCAACGTGGATCGCTCAGATCGTAGCGTTCCATTCGCGCAGATGGTTTGACTCGGTCGGCTTCGCGCCACTGGCGGTGATCACCTTTGAACACCCGTGCTGAGGCCGCTGCAGGGCTAGCGCGGCGCGAACCTGCCGCAAACCCAACACATCATTGGCGATTCGCGCCATGTGCCTTAGCCCTTCACGTCTAACATGCAGGCAGAACGAGAGAGAGAGAGAGATGTAGATCAACCAAGACAACGGTCGCTGTTGGTTGCAGTTTTCGCCGTCACCGTTTATTACTTTATTGTTCCTTCGCCTTCCCTCATGTGCCCTCTTCTTCTTCCTCTTCCTCTTCCTCGTTCTCGCCTTCATTGGCCCGCGAACTCTTTCCCGTCCTCCTCAAAATTGTTTGCGGAGGCTCCTCCGAAGCGAGCTTCTGGAGGACATCGCGAAAGCTTTTTAGGGGCTACTTGGGCGCCTGTGGAGACGTTCCTGTCGCCTTTTGGCGGCCTCTGGGGGCGTCCTCGGGCCGCCATGCCGCGAATCGTGGTCCCGGGGCACAATTTGAATGTTTCTGGAGGGCGTCTTGGGGCAATTTCAGCCCGTCATGGGGCCCTCTGTGCGCAGTTTCTGAAACCCTTTGGGTTGTCTTGGGGCTCTCTTGGGCTATGAGGGCCCATTTTGTCGGCCGTCTTGGAACGGTTTTCGATGCCTCTCAAGCGTTCTCGGACGCCTGGATGTCCGAATAACCGGGTACCCCAATATAATATACAAGTGGCACGTGCGTGCCCAGGCTCATACAAAAAAAAACTGAAGGGGCGTTTGAAGCAGGAGTGAAATGCAACATCGAAGTCGCACTCGAGCGCAAGTGGGGTTGCCACACCTTGCGATGTGTGTACCAGGGCCCCCTAGGAAGCCTCAGGAGGCCCGACTTGGATACCAGAAGAGGCTCCAGGAGGCCCCAGGATTGTGAGTGTTGTGCGTGTGTGTTTGTGTGATGTATGCTTTGTGTGGTGCGTGCTTTTTGTGTGTTGTAGGTGTTGTGTGTGTGTGTGTGTTATGTTTGTCTAGCGTGTGATGTGTTGGGCGTGATGTGTGTCTCCGTGCGCATGTAGTTCTGAAGCCCCAGGAGGCCCCAGGAGGCCCCAGGCGGCCTCAGGAGGCCCCAGGAGACCCCAGGAGGCTTCAGGAGGCCCCAAGAGGCTCCAGGAGGCCGCAGGAGGCCCCAGGAGGCCCCAGGAGTTTCAGGACACCCCCAGGAGGCTCCGAGGCGGGGTCTGGGGTGCCAGAAGGTTCAGAACGCCCCAGGAGGCCCCAGGAGGTTCCAGGAGGCCCCCATGAGGCTCGATTTTGGAAGGATTTTTCAAGCGAAACCGCCATTCCCTGAGAATCGGGGTCACAATTATTGAAATTACCATGTGTTTTTGAAGGCTTTATGTTAAAATGTTGAAATTCCCATGTGTTTTTGGACCCTGACGTCACGATCTGCGTGAGGGGTGCCACCGGTTTCCAGAATTTCGAGGATGTCCCGAGCGAAACGCCAAGAAACATCGCGGACGCGTGCGCATTAATCGCCTCTGAGCTCTACTCCCTCGGAGAGGTGCGTATGAGAATAGATATATATATATATACACACACAACAACCAGTGGAAATCAACATGTTTTGCGTTTCGAAAACCTCTTGGGGGTGATATCTGGGCCGTCTTCGGGCGTCTGGCGGGGGTCTGGGGCCGCTGGAGTCCATCTTGGACCGTCTTTCTTTTACATCGCGCGGGACAACGACTACTCGTTCTATCTTACGTCAATGCGCTGGCTTGCTTGACTAGATGTAAGGCTCGCCGTGGTGTGGCATCCGGCCACTCGGCGATGAATGTCACTCCTCCTACTTCTCCTCCACCGTCAAAGCAGCAGCGGCACCTCCTCCGTTTCACTTCCGCAGCTAGTGCTGCAAACATAATGCTAGCACGCACTCTGGCTTGTGCTTTGACCAGCATGCACCAATCAACCACGCGAAAACTGGGACATGGCACAGGCTTCAAACAGCGCGCCCGCGGGAGTGGAGGCGCTGCCGAGAACCTGCACCAAGAGAGGAGCAAGAGGGGGAAAAGGACGTACGTGCTGACATGGTGGCGCCGCGCAGAACTGAAAGCAGGGTGCCGAGCAGAAAACTTGGCCCGCGTGCCTTACTATACTGCAGCGTTTCCCCAACCTCTCTCACCATACACCGTACTAGTTTCCAAGTCCATGCCGAATCGAAATCCCTCCAACAGAAGAGAACCTCCTCGTACCACCTCAGCACCTCCATTGACGAATGGAGCAGTCGAGACATGTATGGGCACGAAGCTGTAGCCTTCGGCGTGCTATACGTGTGCGCAGCGCTGGAATACAATATAAATTGCGAAGTGATGGGTACGCAGTGGGATAACACAACTGCCGGCACTGGCTGCTTCCAACTTCAGCGCCTGCACCAACAGGGATTGTGAATAATTGAATAATCTAGCGCCACTTCCAAGTAACAGAAGCATCCACTTTCAAGTCGGGCGTGAAAGCCACCAGAGCCAGCGTTGCCCTTGGTGGCAGGACCAGAATAACATCACCAGTGTCAAGACGAGCAAGCTTGACAGCCTCGCCCTGAGAGACGAGACGGTGGGGGGAGAGAAAGAAACAAAGAGAGAGAAGGAGAGAGAGCCGAAGCAACCTTACGGTTTCAACCGTCTCGCCGAGCTGGATCAACTTGCATGCGCGCCCCTCGGGACTCGTGGAAGCCCAGGAGTGCGGCTGCGTCCCGCCGTGCCGCGTAGCCCCCAATCCACGACGAGTCCTCGGCCTGCACTTCCTGCAGACAGAAACCTAAGCTTGCAGACCTCGGTGGAGAAGAAGGCGAACATGATAATTCGCCCTGGACGGTTGACAGCATAGGGCGACTGTACAAACTACATAAATTACTACCAGTGAAACAACCCAACGGGCGTGCTGCAACCAGTTTCGTCGCAGATGGCGACCGACCAAAGGCACGCGTCTCTGTGAGCGTTCGCCAAAATATCTCAAAACGCGATCTCTTTTAACAAGCAATCTAAAAGAGTGTGGCTGTGTGTGTGTGAGAGAGCCAATGTGTGCCCTGAGCGGTTGAGATTATGCTCCAGCTCGCCTCAGCCTCATTGCCATGCGGTTGAACTGCGGTTGGGTGGCTGGGACGCGCGCTTGGCTTCGTTCAACAGGCGGACGACATCGTCCCGTTTGATGCCTCAGGCGCGTAGCAAAATCACGGGCAACATTTCCACATCGTCCAGGTTGAAACCGGCTCGTGGAGCCTACGTTCGCACCGTGTCGAACCAGGCCTGCATCGAAATGCTCAAGAACTACCATTCTCCCGACAGTCTGCCTAAGAATCGCTTCTAGAAGAGGTGGTGGGGGTACCAGAAACGTAAATTGTTCCCGCTCGCGGGAACAGTGCTAGACAAAACGAAGCTTCCACTACGCTTCCATGACACTAGGACTCAGACACAAGGACCTGCATGCTGAGCCTGGAAACAGCAAGGGCGCCTCCAACGCGATCGCCACCTTCGAGCTCACGCCGTCGCCGAGAATTTTGACAGGCAAGAGACCAATGATCTGAACCGGAACTGCCCGGGCTTGCTTTTTGTCAGGCAGTGGGCTCGTCGTCGTCGCCGCCCGCACCGTCGCAGGCGTCTGGTAGCTGGGCAGGGTCGGCGGCCTCCTGGCTGGGCGCCGACCAGTCGGACAGCCCGTGCCTGGAGAAGCCCTCGCGCAGGAAGAGGTCCCAGAGTCAGAGTCGTCGCAAGCACGGGTGGTCTGGCCTGCCCTCGAAGCGCAGGGAGCGGCAATAGACGAGGTACGCGGCAAAGACTGCCGGATATCCCTTGCAGAGCGTCTCGATGGACGTGGACATTTTGCACTCCATGATCTTTCTGAACCTGTCAGCAGGCGTTGCAGCTCGACATCCTTGCCATGGAAGCTGCCCGCGATTCAAGTACATCAGCACGCACCCCACTGCCTCAAGATCGTCACAACGACTCTGCTCAATACCTCGATGTGCGTTGATAGACGCGTAGGCGGCCGTGCCCGTCAAACCTTTGCCTTCGCGGTACGGTATGTGTTGCTGTGTGGTCTGGCCTCTGTACTTCTTGGCAAGGCCGAAATCCACCATGTGCACAATGTTGGAGCCAGCCGTGTCACCGATGAGGAAATTGTCGGGCTTGATGCGTGTGTATTCGTAGCCGATGCTGTAGCTGCACTCTGGTCCTCAGCATCCAAACGACCTCCATCTCAAGCTTGTTGTTGTTGAGCTGGAAGGAGGTCGTGGGCTGCTCGAGTGAGGTACTTTGGTCGAAGTCCCTCTTGTCCTTGTTCCAGGGCCACTCCTTCGCATTGGCCTTCCAGAGTTTTGAATAGATTCCTGCTGCCAAGGTTCTGAGCATGATGGCTGCACCATTGTCGGGTTTGATGTCTCTGTGAATGTAATTCTTCGAATGAAGATACTCGGCTCTGTAGAGCATTTGGTCAGCGATCATCAGGAGTCTTCAAACTGAATTTCCGCCCGCACTTGTTGAAGAGGCTTTCTAAAGATGGCCCAAGGAGGTCCATTACCATTACATTACAGTCGCCCTCCGGGAAGGAATAGTGTGCATTGCAAAATCTGGTGACCCCCTGCAGATGCCTGAGAAACTTGGCCTCGTACATCAGCATTGGATTCTTCGCGTTTGGCTCAAGCTTCACAGCAAACTCCTTGCCGGTCTGCGCGTGGACGGCATGATACACGTGCCCGAACGGGCCGCTGCCCAGGCTCCGCCCCAGGCAGTACTAGCCTCCCACCACCATGCCAAGATGCTCGTGCTGCTGCTCTGACGGATTGCGGGACGGAGGTTTGAGGGGGATGGAGGGACTCGACCTGCTCATGGCCGCGCCGCCCGCCCGCAGCCAGTGCCGCCGATCAGGGGCGCAGAGGCGGGCGCGCTCGAGAATCCGCGCGGGCGGCCGGGCGAGCCCGGTCAGGGCGGCATCGGCCGCTCCAGCGCTGTCGGAAAGAGGTTACATGCGAGTGGCGTCTCGTGAGGTGTCGGCCCAGCTTGAGCCAAATCCGTCTTGAGCCAAAATGGCTATGGAGGCCATCTCGGACCGTCTTGGGGGCCTCGTGGAGCCGCCGCTGGCCAATTTGCACAGTTCGGCGAGTCCTGGTAATCCCTCGGGACCCCTTCCAGGGGTGTCCAGCAAGGCCCCTTCCAGGGGCGTCCAGCAAGGCCCTGGGGCCAGGGCTCCCAAGGATTCCGTTTCGGGGGGGTCAGGGTTCCTGCAGGGTCCAGCTAAGGAACATATATATATATATATATGTGTGCGTATATATATATATATATATATATATATATATATATATATACATGTATATACACATACAACTATAGACGAACGTCTACACAAACATATACACATACATATACATATACATGTACATCTGCATACACATCTACATATACATATACATACACATATGTACACATATATACATATATATTTACAAGTCCACATGCACATACCTATACATATGCATATACACATATATATTTATACATGAACATATACATACATATAACCATATACATAAACACTTTTATATGCATAAGTGACTATATGCATTCACATACACGTGCATAGACATATCCATCGCAATATACATATACATCTACATAACATATACACATATGCACCTATCTTTACATATGCACATACGAATCATATGCATATACTAATACAAATACACATCCATATACATACGCACATCCATACGTGCACACATACAATATTACACGTCTGCATATACATTAAATCTGGCAGTAACGAATCTAGCGGCGCATCGCTCGGTCGATCTTGAACATCGCAAAATGCCCCCTGAACTCCCACGGGTGTCCGGGGACGTCGGGGAGCAATACCTTCAGGTCAACTTCTTTATCTGGTACCTCTTCTGGGGGCTTCATTAGCTGCGCTGCGCTTTGAGGGGGAGGGAGGGGGGTGGGGGATAGGGGGCGGCGCTCCCAAAAGCGACCCCTCCCGACCCCTTCGGGCACGCCCCCCCGGGTCCAGCGCTGAACAACACCCCGACCGATTAAGGGGCACCCTTCCAGGCCAGAATGTTTCCCTACCTAGGCTCTGCCTAGAAAGGTTCTTACTCTCTTAGCTTACAGGGGCGGGCAGTGTAAATCGCCCCGGGCGGTTCCCCCAGTCCCCGCCCCGCGGTTCCCCCAGTCGCGCCCCCTGGGTTCACCCAGCTTAGCTTAGCTTAGCTTAACTTAGCTTGAGTTTAGCTTAACTTAGCTTCGCTTAGCTTAGCTTGGCTTATCTCATCTTAACTTAGCTTAACTTAACTTTGCCTAGCCTAGCCTAGCCTAGCCTAGCCTAGCTTAGCTTAACTTAGATTAGCCTAGCTTAGCTTAGCTTAGCCTATCTCATCTTAGCTTAGCTTAGTTTAACTTAGCATAGCTTAGCTTGGCTTAGCTTAGCCTAACCTAGGTGAGCTAAACTTAGCATAGCTCATCTTAGCTTAGCTTACCTTAGCTTAGCGCAGCATTCGCACATCATATCCTAGCACATCATAACCAAGCATAATATAGCATAGCATAGCCCATCATATCATAGCAAACCAACAAACATATAACACCAACGCAACAACAACGCAACAGCAACAGCAAACGCAAACACACAAGCAAAGGCAAAGGCACACACAAAGGCAAGAGCAACAGCAAAGGCAATGCACACCAAAAGCAACACCAATGCGAACATGTAGATGTATATATAGACGTAGTGTAGGTGTAGATGTGGATGTATGTGTAGATGTAGATGTAGGTGTCGATGTAGGTGTAGATGTAGATGTGAATATAGCTGCTGATGTTGATGTAGATGTAGATGCAGGTGTAGATGTACATGTAGCCGTCGGTGTAGATGTAGATGTTGCTTTCCTAAATGCTCCAACTCCTAGGTAGGGTCGCACTGGGATAATTATCGAACTGCAAAATCAAACCGCATCGGCAACGGATCGAAGCGCGCCCGACTCAGCGCGGAATCGGATCAGAGTCGGCTTGCGTGGGATCACGACTCGGATTCGGCCCCTGCACGCTGGAGGGGGAATCGACTCGGGTCGAGATCGGACGCGAAGTTTGGGGTCGAATCGCATCGAGATCGGACGCGAAGTTTGGGGGTCGGATCGCATGGAGATCGGAAGCGAAGCTTCCGGGGGTCGGATCGCATCGAGGTCGGAAGCGAACGTCGGGTGTGGCCGGATCGGGTCGAGATCTTGGGCCGTGGGCAGCCCTGCTGCGGGGACCCTGGCGCGCCCGAGGAGAAAAAGCTGCGGCCGAGGGGCGCGAAACTTAGATCGGGTATGTCCCCCTACAGGCGGATTCTGGGAGAAAGCAATAGAAACATAGCAGAAACATAATCAAAAATTGTCAAACAAATTCTACAACTCGTCCCCAGACCAGTTTTGTTGACTATTTGGGAATATTCTTCCTGTGGAGGGAGGGGCACGCCCGACTTAAGACGAAACGCCCTCCGTGCTTAGTTCTCCCCCCGCCTGGGCCGGGCAGGGTCTGGGTCTGCAGTACTCTGGCTCATGTGGCGCGCGGAGCGCGCCAGAATCTGGGATCTTCTGACACGGGTCAATCCAGATCCGGGTCAGTCGGGCCTTGCAGGATCCCGCAAAATCCTGCAGGATCCTGCGCCCAAGCCCGGGTCAGTGCAGCCCTGGCCCTGTAGCATCCTGCAAGATCTGGCGCTCCGACTGACCCCCGTTTGCATTGGCCCCCGTGTCTTGAGCCGCGACAGGAGCGGCGGAGGCGCCGCAGGGGGGGGGGAGCCGGCGCAGTTCCAAGAGTTGGCGGCGCGTACAAGGGGTAGGGGGGAGGGGGAGAAGGCTTCTTAGAAGCAAGGGTGCCTCTAAGAAGCCTTCCTGGAGGCCTCCCCGATGGGGTCGGAATAGATGGGGTCGTAGGATCGCGCCGCATCGCCGATACATCGGCGGTGTATCGGCGATGCATCGGCGATGCATCGGCGATGCACCAGCGATGCATCGTCGACGTGGGCGATGCATCGGTGAAGTCGGCGTGAAGCCAATCGGGCTCCACATCGAGCCGCATCGGTGATGCATCGGCGATGCGGCGCGATCCTCCGACCCCACCCGGGAGGCCTGTAGACTCCCCCCCTCCCCCCGATTACCCTCCCTCCGCGCGTGGCCGAAAGAGGCCCGCGCGGGCCTTCGAACTTCTGCGTCTGCGTCGCGCCGTGTCTCTTCGGCGGGGAACTCTCTGCGGTGGCAACTCATGGGAGCCTCCGATGCCATCTTGTTGGCTCTTGCGAATCGACGCATCGACGCTAATCGACGCTAAATCGGCGCTACCTCACCGACTCCCAGACGCCAATCGACGCTAAAAGACGGAATTAACAGGGTATACAGCCGGCTCCCATGATTCGGGCGTTGGCAGAACTGGGGTTCGTGGGACCTGGTTTAGCGATGTTACATCACTAAATCAGGTCCCACTGATGTGTACTGGGGAATGCCCCCCCCGCCCCGTTCCACTAACCGGAACTGCCGTCACCCGAAAAAACACCAGCTACGGCAGACCTGGTTCAGTTGTTCTGGCCAAATTAAGAGCTCCGGGGCCCTACCACTGACCGGGTCCCCTTACCTGGGGTCCCGGCCATACCCGCATGCTTTGCTACCGAAGAGGCCCGCGCGGGCCTTGGAACTTCTGCGTCTGCGCCGCGCTCGTGTCCCGAATCGGCGGGGAACTCTCGGCTCTGCGGCCGGGGTGCGGAGCGGCACAGCCCGCTCCGGGGATCGCACACCGCATACCGACCCGGGCCAATATCCAGACCCAGCCGCCGGGTCAGGTTTTGCAGAATCCTGCAAGATCCTGCGCCCAAGCCTCCTCCTCCTCCTCCTCCTCCTCCTCCTCCTCCTCCATTCCTCTTCCTTGTGATTAACTCCTGCAGGATCCTGCGCCCAAGCCCGGGTCAGTGCACCCCTCGCCCTGCAGCAGCCTGCAAGAAGAGATCTGGCGCTCCGACGGACCCCCGTCTGCATTGACCCCCCGTCTCTCTTGGGCCCCGAGCCCCCCTCGCGCCCCCTGCGGAGGAGGAGGAGGAGGAGGAGGAGGAGGAGGAGGAGGGGGAGGAGGGGGAGGAGGAGGAAGCCCGCGGCCCGCCTTCGGGCACACGGCCTGGCCGTCGGCCCCCGCACGGCGGGGGGCTGCGCATCGCTCCGCCGATCCCCCTCCCACCCCCAATGGCCCTGGCCCTGGTGGCCGACCTGCCCTCGGGAATCTGCTGACCCGGGTCAATCCAGACCCAGGTCAGTCGGGCCTCGCAGGATCCTGCAAGATCCTGCAGGATCCTGCACCCAAGCCCAAGTCAATGAGACCTTGGAGCTGCAGGATCCTGCAAGATCCGGCGCTCTGGCTGACCCCCCTTTGCATCGACCCCCGTCTCTGGAGCCCCGTTTGCCCCCGCCCAGCTGGGGATCCGGGCGGTTCCCTTCGGGCTTCGGGGGGCCCATGCCCACCTGGGGGGGGGGGTGATGCTGGGGCCGAGATGCCATGGCCCAGTGGGGCCGGGGACCCGTGAAGCGATGCTGAGGGACTGTCGCGGCCGGGACGTGCGGCACCACCCTCCTCTGGAAGGCACGGGAGACGTGCCCACCGCCTGCTGCCTTTTACCGCCGAGCGCCCTCTTCCCCCATTCCGGGAGGGCACGCGGTCCGTACCCCGAGGTCCTGGCGCTGCAATTTTTGTTTCACAACGGGCGTCTTCGCTTGATCTCGGGCCCTGGGGCCCTCACAGGTCGATCGGGCTCGAAAAAGGGCGCAGAACGATGGGGTCGGGGGGTCCGGGAGTGATTTCTTGCGATGATGCATTTGTTTTGCAACGCTGGATCTCAGGGTATATGCACGTTCTTGAGCCCCCGGTCCTTAAACTCCTCCTGATCCAGGTTCTTCACCTGCAAGCTTGGGCAGTGTCATCGCTGGAGATGATAGCGCTCCTACTCCGCCGACTGATCTGATACGAATCACATGCTTGGCAAGCTCATGTCCCCTCACGAAACTGCTGTCAGGGCCATGATGTCTGTGTGCTCTCCCATGTTGCTGTCAACGGTTTTTGGGGGGCCGATGACGAAAGCGCAACTGAGAGAGACTCACGGCTCGGACTGGAGTGCGCGTTTCTTGAGACAGGTTCGCGTGAGCGGAAGCTCCTCGCTCCGACTTTTGTGCGGCCCAGGCTGCTGCATCAACCAAACCAGCGTGCATCACTCTAGGTGTCGCGTTTAATCCTGCTCATCCAGGGTACCGCGGTCATTCTCGAATTCTGAACTTTCTTGTACCTCACTAGACTGGTGGCATGAAATCGGCTCGGACATCCGTCCACTTCGAACTAAACATGACCCCACCCAACTCAAGCACGAAGATCTTAGGGGGGAGAGGACGCCTGTACCCAAACCACTTGAAGCTTCAAGCCATGTTCAGCACATCTTGCACTGAGCATCAGGCGCCCCCACGATGACGGCAGAAGCTTCCATCATGTGGGGAAACGAACTCTATACACCGACGCTTTCTCCGACCCTGCACTGAAACTTGCACGGGAAAGCGGATCCTGGTGTATACGGGAACCTGGTGTATACATTTTCGCTGTTTCCCAGCAAGCGGGTAAAAAAAACGTATGCACCACACCACCCCGACGTCGTCCCCGACCCTCAAAAGTCCAGGGATCGAAAAACAGCCCACCACTTGTAATGTAGACGTTCGAATTTTCGATCATGTGCTACCTGTTCACGGCTTCCAGTTCCGCCACGTGCGCGATCGCGCCGCAGCCGCTTCTCAATAAACGCACCATCTCGACAAGCACAGTGCATGAAGAACCTCAAGAAGATAGGTGGCACCGCCGCTCAGTTCTACGTTCTCCTCCAGGGGCGAACGATCCTGAGCAGCGCGTGTCACGATGACATCTTGGACTGCTTCGCCATTGCCAACGCACAAGTCCGTGGAGACAGGCCAAACAGTAGAAGAGGCAGCACCCTGGTCATGCGCGCCGCGTTCTCAGGGGTGATGTCATCCCACGACAGGCCCTTGTAGTCTTTGAGCGTGCGGTCGTAGTACTCCTGCCGCCCCCAGAGGTCGATACGCTGCCCTGCCTCCTGGTAACCATGACCATCATCACCATCATCCTCTTCCTCTTCCTCCTCCTCCTCGTAACAAAACACGTCCACTATTTATCCTCTCCTCCCAGGCGGTGGCAGCGGAAGCGGCAGCGGCAGTGGTACCGAGTAGCGCGCGGTGGGAAGGAGGAGGTCGGGGCTCGTCGGACGTGGGTAGTGGCAAAGGTGGTGGCAACGGTAGACAGCATCGGTTTCTACACATTAGAAGAAGTCTCACGATCACTAAGTCCAAGGGCACACTCTGCTGCCGATCTGCCAAGATTCCGAAGGTGCCCGACAATGTCCGTGGAGACCTGGGGCCATCGGGGAACCAGAAATGTCCGTGGGGCATCTGCTCGCAGGCCGACTTGGACGCTCACGAAACCCTGAATCCCAAAACAAACGACATATCTCTGGGGCTGCTTTTGCTTCCGCCACCTTCCGCCGAACTTCACCCATTTTCCAAGAGGCCTGCTAGATGGGGCCCGAGTAGATGGGGTTGACGGATCGCGCCGCATCGCCAATGTATCGCCGATGCATCGCCGATGCATCGCTGTTGCATCGGCAACATCGGCGGTGCATCGGCGACGTCGGCGTGGGGAAACACGGTCTCCGTATCGAGCCGCATCGTCGATGCATCGGCGATGCGGCGCGATCCCCCGACCCCGTCTACTCGGACCCCATCTAGGAGGCCTCGAGTTCCGCTGGCGCAGCCGCCTTCGTCCTGCTTCTGCCGACCTGCCACCACCCTCCGCCGAGGAAGAGGTGTCGGCCTCTCGCTGCCTCGAAGGCGGGGCCCTTTCTGGATCGTCCAGTGTGATATTACGGTACGATACGGTACGACCACCGCTGCGGACATCTTCTGGGCCTAGCTAAAACCAGGTGGGCAAGACCTTGGCCTCAGAAATCTGGCGTGACCGGACAACATGCAATGCGAGATACATGTAAAAAAAAGTTATGAGGGGAGGGAGGGGGGGAGGAAGGTCCTGGTCATGTGCTACTGGCAATGGTTCCCTCAAGAAAATGCGTCATCAACGCGAGCCCTTCTAAGTCGGAACCTCGCCCTCTCGTGTGATGCCCTGAACGAGATTTCGAGGTGCACCTTGCCGTGGCAGCGGGGAGCCCCCCAGAGGCCTGGTAAAGCCACCAACCCAGGACCTTCAAGCACACGCGTGATGACATGAAACGGGGAAGGAGGGTGAACATGGAAACGACGGGAAGGGCAAGGCAGAAAGAGGGGAAGAGGAAGGATGAACGAATGTGGGAGAGGGTTCCCATGTTGATGATGCTGACCGTGCTGACCGTTCTCTTCCTGACGAGGCGTCTTGGAGCCTTGGAGGAGGGCTCCTTGGGGGCCTCCTGGGGCGTCTTGGGGGTCTCTTGGGCGCCGAGTTGGCAGGTTTGGGGGGCCTCCTGGGTGTGTTTTGGTACCTGTTGGGCGGTTGAGGGCCGTCCTGGGCTCCTGGGGGGCATCCTGGGAACTTTGTTCTTGTTGTAAACGTTTTCTTATTCGGCGTTTCGACATTGGGCGGAGGGGGGGTGGAGGTGGAGGAGTCTGGCTCCGGACCTCTGCAGTCGGGGGAGACTCCACCTGCTTGAAACATGCGCCCCAAGCAGCCAAGATCTACTCCAGGGGGCGGGGGGGGGAGAGGGGGGTGCCAGGGCCCGCGCCGATCGGCAAAACGAAAAATAAGAAACGACCACCTGGGGATTTGTTACTTTTGCTGCTTCGTTTGCTTGAACTTTTTCTCTCCTGGGGATCTCTTGCGGCGTCTTGGGGCCCCTCGTGATGGCGTCTCGGGGCGCTCCCGGGGGGCCTCTTGGGGCATCTGGGAGCCATGCTGGAGTCGTCTTGGAGTCTTGGTTGGGAAAATTCAGCGCCATCCGATGGGACTTCATTGGGGCTCTGCCTCGGCGATCTGGGCACCTCATAGGACCCCCCTCCAGGGGGGTGTCACTGCGGGCGTGGCGAGAAGCGTCCGAGGCCGGAGAGAGTGGAACAGTTACACGAGAGAAAGACCCAAACCATTCAGTGGATGGTTTTTTGAATCGTGGGATCGACAAAGACGAAGAGATCCAACGTATTGAAAAAATCAAGACGGATTTTCTTCGCAATTTTCGGCCTCTATATGGGCCCTCGCCGGGCCCCGGGACCGTCAAACAACGATTCAGGATGAAAAGCCGGTCATGGGGAATCGGTCAAGACTTCCAGGGACCCCGTGTTGAAGAAATCACGACATCGGATCTCTGGGGAGATCGACCAGGAACCCGGGAGCCCGGAGCCCTCGGCCCGGAACCAATAAAACCAGGAACCTGGAAACCCGGGAACCCAGCCGGCTGCAAGAATCAGCGGGAAACTTTTGGGCCAAATCTTTCGATTTCCGCCCGGACCCCTAGGGGTGGATTTTGGACGAACAATTTTTTAAAAAATACAGAAAATATTCAAAAAATACTCAAACATTGTCAAAACCTTGTCCCCCGACTACTTCTTGACTACTTTTGAATATACTCCTCCTGCAGAAGGACAGGCCCGACTTAAAAATGCAGGCACTGACGGGGGGCACAGCCTGCTGCGTCCACGCTTGCGCGTCCGCCGACCCCCTGCCGGCGCGTGTGCGGGGGAGCTCTGGGCCGGCCGTCCCGGGGCGGCCCGGGGAGAGGCCCCCTTCTTTCGCCCGGAGCTCGTCTTCCCCGCCCCGGCGGCCGCCTTCGGCCCTCCAAGCTCGCAAGCCTGGAGCAGGGGATCGACTGCAGAAGCCATGTACCCCAACATTGACGTTCTCGTCGAGTCCATGGAGAATGCGTAGGATGCGACGTAGATCTACGAACATCCTACGCATGTTTCATGGATGTGACGAGAAAATAGATCTTGGGGTGCGTGCATCGATCCTGCAGTCGATCCCCTACTCGAAAGCCCGAGGTGAATCGAGCCAGGTCGCTATCGAGGTCGCAGGTGAGTCGAAGGGAAGCCCCTTCCCAGTTGAACCACTTCCCTCCCTGCGGTCCCTCCCCCTCTCCCCTTTCGGGTCATAGTCTGGTGATTTCCTGGCACTTCTTCCGCAGCTGAGGTCCAAAACGGTCAAAGAACGCTCCAAGTCGGTCCAAGAACAAAGGTCCAAAACGGTCAAAAAACGCTCCAACATGGTCCAAGGTGCCTCAAGACGGCCCAGGAGATCCACGGGCTCCCGGAGGACCCTTAAGAGATCCCCCAAAGGCAAAAATCTGTGATTTCCTGATGGTGTTTTATGCGTTTCCGCGTTCTCCATTTTACGGGCTGCCGACCGCCCAAGACGGTCTCAAAACAGAGGGGCTCCAGAGGGGAACCCGAGCTGTAATGTCGAGCCATTCCTCGAAAGATCTCCTCCGAGACCGCCAGCAGGCCCCCCAAGACCCCCAATAACTCCCTCTGAGGCCCCCAATGCGCTCCCAAGAGGCACCAGGGGATCTCAAACATATCATTGCGCTGGCCTTGCAGACGTGCTGCAGCGGATTTCTGCGTGAATTTCTCTCAGCGCAACACCCCGAAATGGCGAGCGAAAAACAATGTGAATTTCGCGTGGATCTTTTGTAGTCTTCATTACTTGCAAAAAACACACACGCACACGCACACGCACACGCACACGCACACGCACACGCACACGCACACGCACACGCACACGCACACGCACACGCACACGCACACGCACACGCACACACGCACACGCACACGCACACGCACACGCACACGCACACGCACACGCACACGCACACGCACACGCACACGCACACGCACACGCACACGCACACGCACACGCACACGCACACGCACACGCACACGCACACGCACACGCACACGCACGCACGCACGCACGCACGCACGCACACACACACACACACACACACACACACACACACACACACACACCACACACACACACATACACACATACACACACATACACGGACACACACACACGCACACACGCACACACACACACACGCACACACACACAAACTTAACCTCGAAATCCGAAACGAAATTCTCTAGGACAATCTGGGCCCATCCCATTGTTTTCCGAACAAAATCCGCTCTGCGATGTTGGCGCCATGAGAAATACCTCTACGTAACAAGCCTCCCAAAAGACCCCCACAACGAGCCTGTACGAGTCCGTGACCTTCCGTGGGGCTTCCTCTGGATCCTCCCTCCGGGGGCGGCGGTTCTGGCGTTAAGGCCTCTCCAACATTGACAACTCTCTCGGGAACAGCTTGGAACCACCTCGGAGGCTTGATTGGACCCTCTGGAGGCCGTCGTGGGTCACTTTTGTGGGCCGTGCGGCAGGACTGCCGCCAGGCGTCTGCCGCCGCGGGGCACGGCGAACTGTGTTTTTCGCAAGGGGGCAGGGGCCACACGCCGCAAGGGGGAACGCTGCACGGAAAAACCCTCCAGGAGGTCGGGGAACAAGCTTTCGGTCGGGCATGTCTCCCTACAGGCGGATTTGGGGCGAAAAAATATACGAGAATAGCCCAAACATTCCCAAACAAATCGTCCCCTGACTATTGTTTTATTATTTTTGAATTTACCGAACAGCGAAGACTGATAGGTTTCTAGTAGTGTCAAAAGAGAGCATCTTGACTCCCCAGGCGGGTCTGGGCGGGTGCCGGGGAGAACCCGCGGAAGTCGTTTTAAGCAAACGGTTACGTTAGGTTCGTGTCGTGCCGACTTCGGCGTTGGTTTCTGACACCACGGAGATTGTTCAATTTTGAACGATTGGCCGTCCCAGAAACATCAGATCGTTCCACATCGACCGATTCTGGGTCGCCAGCGGCGTTCAACATTGAACGCCAACGGCGGGGTCGCCGCCGGTCGACACGACACGAACCTACCGTACACACTTCGTGGTCTTCGAGGTCCCAGAACTCCATTCCTGGGCATGATTTTGAATGCCCGGAGCCAACTGTAGGCCACTTCGTGGTCTTCGAATTCCCAGAATTCCATTCCTGGGCATGATTTTGAATGCTCGGAGCCAACTGTAGGCCACTTCGTGGTCTTCGAGTTCCTAGAATTCCACTCCTGGGCCACATTTTGAATGCCCAGAGCCAACTGTAGGCCACTTCGTGGTCTTCGAGTTCCCAGAATTTCATTCCTGGGCATGATTTTGAATGCCCGGAGCCAACTGTAGGCCACTTCGTGGTCTTCGAGTCCCCAGAAGCGAACTGTAGGCCACTTCGTGGTCTTCGAGTTCCCAAAACCTCATTCCTGGGCATGATTTTGAATGCCCGGAGCCAACTGCGGGCCACTTCGTGTTCTTCGAGTTCCCAGAACTCCATTCCCAGGCCACATTTTGAATGCAGAGGCAGGCTGAGGCTGAGGCTGAGGCAGGCTAAGGTTGAAGCAGGCTGAGGCTGAGGCCGAGGCTGAAGGCAGACTGAGGCTGAGGCTGAAGCAGGCTGAGGCGGAGGCTGAGGCTGAGGCTGATGCAGGCTGATGCTCAGGCAGGCTGAGGCTGAGGCTCAGGCTGATGCAGGCTGAGGCTGAGGCATGCTGAGGCTGAGGCCGAGGCTGAAGGCAGGCTGAGGCTGAGGCTGAAGCAGGCTGAGGCTGAGGCTGAGGCAGGCTGAGGCTGAGGCTGAGGCAGGCTGATGCTGAGGCAGGCTGAGGCTGAGGCTGAGGCTGATGCAGGCTGAGGCTGAGGCAGGCTGAGGCTGAGGCCGAGGCTGAAGGCAGACTGAGGCTGAGGCTGAGGCTGAGCAGGCTGAGGCTGAGGCTGAGGCAGGCTGAGGCTGAGGCTGAGGCAGGCTGAGGCTGAGGCTGAGGCTGAGGCTGAGGCAGGCTGAGGCTGAGGCTGAGGCAGGCTGATGCAGGCTGAGGCTGAGGCTGAGGCAGGCTGAGGCTGAGGCCGAGGCTGAAGGCAGACTGAGGCTGAGGCTGAAGCAGGCTGAGGCTGAGGCTGAGGCTGAGGCTGAGGCTGAGGCTGAGGCTGAGGCTGAGGCTGGCTGAGGCTGAGGCAGGCTGAGGCTGAGGCTGAGGCTGCTGAGGCTGAGGCAGGCTGAGGCTGAGGCCGAGGCTGAAGGCAGACTGAGGCTGATACTGAAGCAGGCTGAGGTGAGGCTGAGGCAGGCTGA